CATTCCACGCATAGAGGCTGTGGCTACCTCGCGATAAAATTGTTAATTCAGAGATTCGAGTCTCTCACAGAAAGACTGGGATCGCTGAAATATGTTGAACTTAGAAAATTTTAACCATATCTATCGAGACACCACTTATTGAGAGATTCGAGTCTCTCGTTCAGAGAGATTCCTAAATCCCTAAAATCAGCCACTTCTTCTAATCTTTCGTCTCCTATTTTTATATTCGCTCTTTCCCTACTTTTCCTTCCCTTGCATACCAGTATTTTTGTTTTACTTTTATTTATTTGAATACCGCTTCCGCTTCCATTTTATTTAAAGTTATCTCTAACTCCTTCTTGCTAGATGCTAAAACTGCTATATCATCTGCAAATCTAAGCATACTAATTTTTTGCCCATCTATATCTACCCCTACAGTTGTCCTCCCTACAATGATGTTGATAGCGTCCTTGATGTATAGATTAAAGGGCAGCAGTGACAGTGTGCGTCCTTGTCTGACCTCTTCCTAATATTTACTTTTCTACGTTGCTGCTTACATGCAAAAAAATGCTTTTGTTTCTGATAATATATATTTAACTTCTAAACATTATTGTAAAGAATTTTTGTTTTTATTTCATACATACTGTTAAGTAGCTTACAACAGTTGAAATGATAAAGGTCTTTAATATCCGCACTCATATAATAATTAAATAAGTTTAGTGCACTTATACATATAATAACGTAGCTATTCTACTAGCATATAAGGCCCTACAATTTCTCGAGAGATCAACGCTCTAATAAATCTTGTTCGTCCTGCTAGTGCTTCTTATTGTCTCAAAATTATTGTAATATGTGAGTAATTCTCAATATGATTGCTTCAAAGTCAAAGGCGGTTTAACCGACAACTGATTGCTATTTGTCTCAAAAGGTTTAATTTGATTTTACTAATCCCTTACGTAAGGAATCGGGGAGTTTAGGATACTTTTATATGATGCACCACCCCAAGTCATAATGTCATACTGTATTTGTATTTTGTTAGTAGTCAATTCTGTTAGGTCTTCTTCTACGTATTTTAACAGGAGAAAAATGGAAGAATTGGTAAAATATCGTATATTTATATCATTTTAAGAGCAACAGACAATATACAGATACTGTATGTAGATATGTCACTTGTCACGTAAAGAAAAGGGTAACATCCCGTCGATTTTCGATTGAAAAACGTCAATCGATGGTTAACAAATAGGACACACCAAAAAGACGTACCTACATTGTTGAATTTTGCGAAGGAAATCGAAGATGCTGAAGTTGCTTTTCAATTTTCCACATGAATTCAGACGCAAAAACAATATTTTCTACATTTGATAATTGCAAAGTGCATTTTCCAATACTTTCCGTGATGTTGCTTCTAATACTATAATCTTTCACTACAATATATCAAATCATTATTAGATCTGTAGTTATTTGAAAATTTATTCTCAATTTTTTTCCACTATGGATTTAAAGAATAATAAGGCGCCAGGTGTAGATGGGATACAGGGGAAAATTATAAAACATGCAGGACAAGAGGTTAGAGATCGTATGTTTAAGTTAGTTGGTCACATTTACGAAACGGGGAAAGTCCCACAGGATTATAAACGGAACGTAGTAGTAACATTACCTAAGAAGAGGAGCGCGGATAGCTTAACTTCCCATGCGTCAAAAATCTTAACTAGAATTGTACAGAGAAGGATGAAAAAAGGGCGCAAGAACTATTAGGGGAAGATCAATTTGTGATTAGAAGAAATAGAGGAACGCGGGAGATCATTCCAGCGTTGCGCGTAGTAATAGAGAAAACGGTGGAAAAAAAGAGTGCGCACAAAATTTGTAGATTTAGAAAAAGTTTTTAACAATGTTAAATGGGACAAGATGCTAAATATACTTAAAAATGTAGGGATGAATTGCAAAGGTAGAAGAGTGATACTAAGTCTGTATAAGGAGCAACAGGCAGTTATAGAGCTGGGGCTGCAACGTAGAGTAAATATTAGGAAGGGAAACAGACCGAGATGTAGGGATAGATATACAGGGGCAAAAGATCAGTATGCTTAGACTAGGTATCTAGGAAGTCAGATATGTCAAGACGGAACAAGTAGTAGGGATATAAAGCAGAGA